TAGAGAACCATAATTAACCAAGGAACCAAGGAACCAATCTTTTTTTCAACTTTTTCAACTTATTTTTTATCAAAAAAAAAAAACTAAAAATACAGAAATTTATAACTTTTTATCCTTTTTCCAATGATATCAAATTCGATTTTTTTTTTACGTCAAATTTACAATGTGAATCTTTGAAAATTCACAACGTGAATCCAGATTCACACGATGAATCCGAAAAATATTTTTCACATTCACAATGTTAACATATGAATTTAGATATTTTTAGATTTTTTTTTCGATAAAGAATAAACTCTAGAAATTGAAAAAAAGATTTGGTTCCTTGAAGAACCAATAATTATGGTTCTCTATTGAACTTTTCCATATATATATATATATATATATATATATATATATATATATATATAGTGAGTCCAAGTAAAAGAATCTTGATCTGCTACTTGGTGTTTGTGTAGCTGAGGACACATTTGTGGAATTGGTCAAGGAAGCAAGCCACAACAAAATAGTATCCTACTTTTGAGGGCATAAAACGTTGCAACTTGAGGGCATAATAGTAAAAAACAGGGCTGTAAACGAACCAAACAAACACGAACGGGGCTTGTTCATGTTCGTTCATTTAAGTTAGCCGAACAAATAAACGAACACGAACGGATAAACGAATACGAACGGATAAATGGACGTGTTTTCTTGTTCATTTTCGTTCGTTTAACAAATTACATTGTTCATATTCGTTCGTTTATATTCGTGAACATGCTAAATGAACATAAACAAACAAACATAAATGAACAAAGTTAAAAAAAACATAATTGAAGATATATGAACATAAATGAATATATAATACACTAATGTAATCAAATACAATTAAGCATATGTGAACATAAAATGAACTTATATGAACGAACATAAACGAACGTAAATAAACGTTCACGAACATAATTGAACGAATGAGACCATTGTTGATGTTCGTTTGTTTAACTAAACGAACGATAATCTGTGTTCATATTCATTCGTTTATTAAATAAACGAACATAAACGAACTTCTCGCCGAACGGTTCACGAACAGTTCGCTGAACGTTCAGTTCATGTTAAATGATTTCAAAATAAGGAAATAAGTGACTGCAAATGTATTATCACACAGAGTCATGAGGACTTTTAAAAGGACTAGTGAAAGGATTTTAAAAAATGGATGTTCATGTCAAACATATAAGAGTAGCTTCAAAACGTTATATGTCAAGAACACTGAATATCAAATGGAATAGAGAATAATGTCAAGAACACAAACAACCATATCAAATGAATGTCAATCACACATAATGCAACAAACATACAAACACGCAAGTAAAAAAAAACTACTAACCTCTAAATTCTTGGAGCCGTGATGAAATATACTTGAAATTGCCTTGAAGCTTTGATGGTGGATTATGTAATGCGTCACAGGAAACAATTTTATAATGATTGGTTGGAAATTACTCTGCGATTTTGAGGGAAAGCGCTGCGATCGTGATCATCCTCAAGTGCAAAGCTTTTCTTTGGGTTGAGGACGTGTCAACCCGTTCACATGGAGGAGGCGGCAATATTCTTTGACAATGGATTGCGCGGGGCGATTGAGGACATTGTGGTTTGTGGGGGCCCTTTCTTTGGTGACATACAATGGCGAATTGCTTCCTTACCCATTAGGTTTGGGGGTTTGGGTTTATACTTGGAAGTAGAGGCTACCTCCTATGCTTTTGTTGCCTCAAGGGCCCAATCTTGGGTATTGCAAGACCACATCTTACAGGATAG